CGCATATTCCTTTCTTCCTGGAATTTTAACTTACGTCATTTATATGTCTTTGCGTAATGGATAGGAGAGATTTTAATAATTGCGATTTAACCATATTCGCCACTAAAGGAACAGTGCAAGTAACAGTTTAAAAATTAATTGTAGATTAACCAGAATAGTAGTGTATGCGACTGTTAGTATAGTATGCAGAGACCTAAGCTAGTACAGTACATTGAAGTTTTTATGGTATCTTAATTGAGCATGAAGCTATCGCTAACACAACGGTATAATACAGTTTATGCAATCTTTTCCATTAGGTAGTACAGTATTGTGTGCATTGAAATTGCTAAAGTGATCAAATAATCTACTGGACTAGGCACTGAAAATAATTGTATGACTGTCTATTTCTATGGAAATACATTTCATTAATTCTACACTTTGATTTCATTGATAAAGATCATTAAAAGCATCATTGATTCAATCTAAAAATAATAGGCTTATTTGTGAGATAAAATCTAAGATGTGGTTGCAATGCAATCGGTGTACTCATCAATCTGTAAAGGTAGCTCAGCAAATTTACACAAGTAGGCATAACAAGCATATCAACGTTAAAATATCATTTTATCCAACTCTCAAGTTTTGTTCCTGATATTCGTTAATCCTACATGTCTATCACACTGCCTAATAGTAATCACATGGAGTTGAAATAGCAAGCTATCCTTTACATGTTATAAAGCTATTGATCAAGTAGGATACTGTCAATACAGAAGAGTGACTCCTCGTTTAAGTTGATTTGTATCATCGAACAGACGGTCTATTTCAACGATACTCTTTTCTTTCGGATAATCCACTTGATTTTGACCAAGTAGGTCAAAAGAGATGAATCATGTACAAGTATAGATGGATTTATAGCGCAATATGGTTATAGAGTCTACAACTGCTGTGTCAAGTTGCATTGTTAGCCATACTTTACTGTACCTTCATTCTTGAGCAAGGTGGTTAATCCATTGATCAAAGGTATGGTATTGATGAAAGAATAATTTGTTGCGACATTAGTTAGTAATGAAATAATTTTAGCTCTAACAACAGCATCAGGTTCTTTGGAATAGCGTTCAATTAATTTGTTGATAACTTTCTCCATATCACAATTCGTGATATAAGGCAGTTTATTACTAAATTCCAATAGAAATTGAAGGACATTAAGAGAATTCCATGAGTCAGGGATATCGAATGTATTGATCGAATCGGTATCCAGTTTAGAGCGTTTTCTCGATCTTACTCTTAATGGTGTCCGTACAGTCTCTTGACGTATAGTAAGAGTAACAGAAGACGATGCCATAGTAGCATCATTTTTACGTGCCCTTTTTCTACCAGCACCAGACATGTTGAATATTGCAATCGATGCCAATAACTTCTTTATTCCATGGACGTTGCTGTGGCAATGAGCTGGCTTTGAGCTTGTAGGACTTGCCTAAGACGTACAGTATGAGGGGGGCACCCATACGCTATCTAGTATAGAAGCTTTTTGGCCGTCAGTTGGTAGGATGAAATGGGTCTCACTAGAGATCCCTTCTAAGGGTCTCTAGGTCTCACTAGTGGGTTCGGAACGGCCTGGGATAATGATTGGACCGGACCGGACCGGACTGGACTGGATCGGACTGGGTCATTTCCATGTTGGGATAGTACCGGTACCGGTGGCTGTGACGTACCGGTCCCAGCACTTGCATCACAGTTCGTCACCAGCGTAGTCATGTCTACGCCACTGTAATTCCTCGCTAGTCAACTTGGCCATTCCTACCGAGAAATTGCAATGCTTTCTGCTGTTTATTTGCCTTCAAATGTCTACATGGTTTGCCTAACTCACGCTCTATCCAATGAGAAAGAGGAAGTTATGGGCTTATTGGTCGGAGAGGTAATATATTCTAGATCCAAGTTAAAGAATTGAACCGCTAAATGGCTAAATGATGTGATGATGACGTGATACTGCAGTATATAGTCATACTGTACTAGCAAAACTCCGATAGTTGTAAAATAGTCATACTAAATCGATTCAAACGGTTATTCAACAACTACGTTTATACGCGAATTTTTCATCAAAACTTCGTAAAATTGATACTGAAACAGCGACCTAGACGATATTTGAACAGCTTTTGTAGCAGCACTTTTCCAAAATATCCTACCTCATACTGTAGTACACCATTGCATGGAATAGTCAATCCTCACTTTCGACATTTCAACATGATATAAAGTTCTACTGTATAGATTTTATGGTTCTGCAATCGACCAACATCATTACTAATCTGCGCATATTGATATGTAACTGATACTCGTATATCAAGCTATACTGTACATTCAGAACAACTTGATTAATTTACCTTAACTGCAATATGAATAATAATATACTGTACTGTACGAGTCTAGGTAGTCACATTAAGTTACTTCTTAACAACTGCAAAAATAGGTATCATCACGTCATATTTCATTTGTACTGTATGTGTATATCATCTACCATATTGCGTCTTAGTAGCAATTAAAACAATCATCATACAGTATAAGCTAATATCGCTAACAGTTAACTTGTCCTGTATTTGTAATGCCATAAATGATATATTTATTATGAATTGATTAACTATATTATAGGTCAACGAAAACAACGTGGCCCATATTAGTGCTGCGTTAATGTTGATCAGATCGGATAAAAGAAGTGATAGAGTGGAGATCTCACCAGAACAGTTAACATCAGCTTCCATTGAAGTGGAGATATCCAACAGTAAATGTGTTGATACTATATGTGGAATACGTTCGGAGTCAAGACGCAGTAAATTGTACTCTACTAGACCTACATGAAAGCCCGGCATTACTGTTATTATACGCCAATAAATAGTTTTTCGATATGTCAATAAGTGCAGCAAACGAATTCCCTGGTATTTGTTGTTAGCTAACTATGAAAGATTTGATAGTATTCTGTTGAGATATTAACAGATCATAGGTTAAAACAATTAAACTATTCGTTAAAGAAATAATTTACTTCATAGTAAAGTTCTACTAATCTTCTAGATAGCAAAACTAGATCAATAAAAAGAAATGATGCTCTTTAGCCTGAAAGTACTAGTGTATTTACTAAGAGTTATTAGCTACTGTATTACGTTTTATGCTACTTCTGATATCAACTCACAAAGATTACAATTTCAATTGCTACTATACAAATCGAACGTTCCTTAACTTATTAATACCGACTTGCTTATACTCTCAATCGCCCACTACGAATTGTTGGATGGTATCATTCTCATCCACATATCACAGTTGC